ATATATATATATATATATATATATATATATATATATATATATATATATATATATATATATATATATATATATATATATATATATATATATATATATATATATATATATATATATATATATATATATATATATATATATATATATATATATATATATATATATATATATATATATATATATATATATATATATATATATATATATATATATATATATATATATATATATATATATATATATATATATATATATATATATATATATATATATATATATATATATATATATATATATATATATATATATATATACTAGTTATCCCATTAGGGTTCGTTTGGTTGGGGGGTTTTGGAGGGGAGAGAATATTTTAAATTAAGTATGTTTGGTTTAGTTTTTTATGATGGGAGAGGAGGGGAGGAGAGATAATATGAATCTCTCCTGAATCAGTTTTTCGTTTCCCCCAAATTAGGGGTTTTGGAGGGGAGGGGAAGGCGAGGAGTTGTAATAAAATATATTTTTGTTATATTAACAAAATTACCCTTTTTTTTATTATAATCCTAAATTTTACTTAATAAATATTATATGTTAGTTTGTCACCTTATTAGAATTTCTCCATATTCTTAAACACAACTTCATTAATTTTATTACTCTAACTCAACTTTCTTTCTTTTTTATATGTGTTTTATTTTATTCATTTTTATTTATTATTTTTTGTAATAATTTTTTTTTATTTTATAAATTGTTGTGTTGTATTATATACCAATATATAATTGTAATATATGAGTTATATATTAACTATAATTTAATTTCATAAATTATTTATAGAATTAGATGGATCATCCAGACGAGAAAATTGTCCATTTGAAGATTGATATATTTTATATACACTTTAATATATTTTAGTTGAAATATTAAATATTTTGTGTTTGATTATCTATATTGTTTACGAATTGACAAATTTCTTTTTTTTTTGGTTGTGAATATCATTTTATTTTTATTTTATGTAGAACGAGTGTTACAATATTTTAAGGGTAAAAAGGTAAAGTAGTTTTAAAATCTCTCTCTTTCTCTTGTGAACTAAACATATTTTTGATTAAAACTTCTTCCTCCCCTTCCCTCCCCCTCTTTTGAACCAAACATATATTTAATTAAAATACATTCTCTCCCTTCCCTTCCCCTCTATTAAAATCACTCACATCCCCTCCGCTCCATTGAACCAAACGAACCCTTAAGTTAGATATCAACTCGTTTTCATTCCATCAGAAAGAAGGACATAACATTCTCAGCTTCTTGTTTCAATACTCGAACAAATGGACTCAACCATGACAGGTACATGTTTATTGTATTATTTGTATTGTGATATGTTATACAATTATATATATACGATTTTGATTATATTGTTAATATTCCATCAAGAAATTGTACCAAATTCAATAATGAACTTATTTATCCAAACACTCAGTTTTGTTGTGGTTGAGAAAACAATATACTCGACATCTCTGATAGAGTCGATTGTTTCCTATTTAACTCTTTCAACTCACATCATCGCCATTTAAAAAAACACATATCCAGATTGAGATCTGAAGTCATCTTTATGTGTTTGAGAGTTAGTAATATTACAATGAATTCTTCATGACCTCCATATATCAAGAATAAATCCTTAGTTATTTTCAATTACATAAGAATATTATTTATGGCAACCTAATAGCCATCACCGAGATTAAATTGGTACCTTTCTTATTTGCTTAAAACATACGAGACATATGGTTGATGATACAATATGAAACACATAGTAAATTCAATTATATATACATATTAAATATTATTCATGTGGTCCCTTTCTTATTTCATTGATGGAAATTATGCTTTTGATAGACACACACCATGTTACATGAATATGAATCCTTTCTTCGAGTAATATATATTAAAGAATCTTGACACTATGTCTTGTCATATACCCTGACTTAGACCATACAATCTTTGTGATGCATATCTTTAAATCATTATATATATATATATATATATATATATATATATATATATATATATATATATATATATATATATATATATATATATATATATATATATATATATATATATATATATATATATATATATATATATATATATATATATATATATATATATATATATATATATATATATATATATATATATATATATATATATATATATATATATATAATATTATGAAAATGTTATTTTTATATGAGAACACGAGAATGAATCTGAACCATTAAATTTAAATAAATGGGTGAGTGGAGAGAGAATTTTAATAATAAAAAAATAATATTTTAATTTAAGTCATTTATTTTAGGAAACAGATCCTCTCCAATATTTTTAATTTTGCCATCTCTCATGTGCAATGTTGGTTGTTGGAAGTAGAATGGAAAGCAGCGACACCCAAAAGGAGAGGATCTATATATATATATATATATATATATATATATATATATATATATATATATATATATATATATATATATATATATATATATATATATATATATATATATATCACCTAAATTTTTTCATAGAAAAACACTTTTCCTACTAAGTATTAACTCTTTTAAAGTAGAGATATCATTTTGAATGAGGAACATCCATATATAACACCAGAAATACAACTATACTCCCATTAAGTGCTTTGTAAACGCGCAGTTCATTTTCATTTTTAATGAATTCAATTTTTCTTACAGACTCGTTAAAATTAAGGTTTCATTTTATAGAAGCTTGCTTAAATCTATGGATTAATCGTTGTAACTTACATACCTTTTTGGCAAGCATTTTCATTCTCAACACCTGCAAGTTGTGTCATATACACGTATCAGAGAATTTTGTTTTAAGGAAAGCCGTTTTAACATTCATTTTTGATATTTTACAATCTTTGTGATGCATATCTTTAAATCATTATATATATATATATATATATATATATATATATATATATATATATATATATATATATATATATATATATATATATATATATATATATATATATATATATATATATATATATATATATATATATATATATATATAATATTATGAAAATGTTATTTTTATATGAGAACACGGGAATGAATCTGAACCATTAAATTTAAATAAATGGGTGAGTGGAGAGAGAATTTTAATAATAAAAAAAATAATATTTTAATTTAAGTCATTTATTTTACGAAACAGATCCTCTCCAACATTTTTAATTTTGCCATCTCTCATGTGCAATGTTGGTTGTTGGAAGTAGAATGGAAAGCAGCGACACCCAAAAGGAGAGGATCTATATATATATATATATATATATATATATATATATATATATATATATATATATATATATATATATATATATATATATATATATATATATATATATATATATATATATATATTATATATATATATATATATATATATATATATATATATATATATATATATATATATATATATATATATATATATATATATATATATATATATATATATATATATATATATATATATATATATATATATATATATATATATATATATATATATATATATATATATATATCACCTAAATTTTTTCATAGAAAAACACTTTTCCTTCTAAGTATTAACTCTTTTAAAGTAGAGATATCATTTTGAATGAGGAACATCCATATATAACACCAGAAATACAACTATGCTCCCATTAAGTGCTTTGTAAACGCGCAGTTCATTTTCATTTTTAATGAATTCAATTTTTCTTACAGACTCGTTAAAATTAAGGTTTCATTTTATAGAAGCTTGCTTAAATCTATGGATTAATCGTTGTAACTTACATACCTTTTTGGCAAGCATTTTCATTCTCAACACCTGCAAGTTGTGTCATATACACGTATCAGAGAATTTTGTTTTAAGGAAAGCCGTTTTAACATTCATTTTTGATATTTTATAATCATAGTATGTAATTATGGTAAGTAAAATCTCAACAGATCTAAGCATTGCGATTGGTGAAAAATTTTCATCATAGAATATTCCACATACTATTTTGAAATCCTTAGACACCCATTGAACATATAGATATGTAGCTTACCACCCACACATGTCTTCTTTTTGAAGACTCACTTGCACCCTATGACCCTTTAGACGAGTCTACCAAAGTCCATATTTAGTTAATGTACATGGAATCTCTTTCATATTTTATGACCACTAACCACTTCTCCGATCAAGTTCTATTAATGATTCCTTGGTAAATCAATGTCTCATCCTCACCCATGAGTAATTCCTTTCTCGGTTATGAGAAATCCATATCTCTTAAATTGATGAGGTACATTGTTCTTGTGTTACATGGGCAGACTGTTCATACAAAACATCTTAGATAATTTGCTTTTGTTCCTTCATTGTTGTATTGCTACTCTATGATTCTTGAATCTCTTCAAGTCTTACTTTCTTCACACTCATTCCTTTTGAAACAAATTCCCTTTCTAGAAATACTAGAATTCGAGCGACAAATATTTTCCCTCTAATAGGTTTTAGAAATGGCATCATTTGGTTTATACCCCCACAAAGAAGCATTCATAATGTTTGGACTCATGTTTAATGTAAAGTTTTTATGTAACACATACTTCACAGTCCCAAATCTCCACGTAAGACATACTTTGTTTCTTTACAATTCACATTCCATTTGGTGTCTTTTCCATCATTTTTATGAAACACAGAATGTTATTATAAGGAGTTTGAATGGTCTACATGACTCATCATTTACTGGACCTTGTATAGCAGAAGATAGAGTCCAATTTATCGAAATTAGATGACATTAATAAATTGTTCCTATTTATCGAGAAAAATAACACGTCTATTTATTATGCGGTATTGAAATACAGATCTTCCATTCTTGCTGTGTAGTGTAGTAAAAAGAATGCAACCTTGTATAGCAGAAGATAGAGTCCAAGGCTATTATAATACATGCTTAGTAGACTCCTTATTTTGTTTATTCACCATTGTTTTTACTGTTCGCTCGCATGTCTTTGAGAGAAAGCTTTTATCCTTTTCATACCTTCTCTGAGAGAAGATGGATCAGCAGCAAAAGTGATACGAATCCAATCTTTTAGCCCTACTGCAGTTCCTGCAAACAAATTTAAATTTTGTTTTGTTACATACAAAGTTCAGTGGCAAGCAAGATTTGCCAAATACAAGCAAAATTTGCATGATTGTACCTGGAAGAATGATAACAGATTCCTCCTTGGCAAGTTTAAAACAGAAATCAATATCATCGCTAATATTTTCCATAAGCGAAAGGTTTAGTTTCACCTGCATATCATGTCATTCAAGAATGAATAAATAAATGAATAGAGCTTTGCTTTTTTATAAAGAAACATGTTATGTTCTGTTATGTTCTCCAAAAAAGTAAATTCTGAGTCTGAGTTTCTCACTCACCATCATAGCCATGGACCCTTGTGGTTTGCAAGGGAAAGAAATGCATGGAATATCTTCCATCTCTTGGCAACATATATCTGCAGTAAGCCTCAAACTGTCAATGGTTTTTTTGAAGAAAACCTCTTCTGTCTGTGTAATTATGCGAGGTACAGCCGCCTGTCAAACCAAAACTCCTATCAATCCTATGGACGAAGTAGATGAAGACATGAAGTTATGACAGAATTGAATATTTGTGTCCTTAGAAATAGTGAACTTAAGAACCTGGATGAAAGTAGCTGGGCCTCCCAATAGATCAAAATACTTTTTGATGCGCTCGACTACCTGCATAAGAAACATTCAGTCAGGTTCTTGACTTATCATAAAGAACAAGATAAAATTGGATTATATGCAACTGCAATTACGTATTAGTCTGTCAAGTATAATGTTTTCCAATAGTATTTGCATATACCGACACTACGTTGGTCCGAGTGAAATTAAGAGAGAAATAACCTTTGGTTTTCTGAAAGTACCAGATGGATCATTTGTCACAAACCAACCGAGTCTCCATCCAGGTACTATCCATCTCTTAGACAAGGATCCAAGAGTTAGAACAGGAACAATAGACCCAAAAACCCCCATAGGCACAAAAGGGTTATCCCGAAATGCAAGGTGACCATAAACTTCATCAGCAATCACAATTGTCCCAAGCCTTTTTGCTGTTTTCGCAATCTAAAATACTCAAAAACAAACAAATACATTTATTAACTCTTTCTGTTAAATTTAATGCTGTCAAGTTTTATCTGTCATTGGAGACATATACTATTACAAACAAACCTTCTCCAAATGATGATAAGAGTATACATTTCCACAAGGATTCCCGGGGTTTATAATCACTATTGCGACCGTGTTCTGATCTGCGAGGGCTTCAATAGCATCTAAGTCAACCTCCCAACCTTTTTCAGGCAACAGATCATAATGTCTCACTTCAACTTGTCTAAATGCAGCACTAAGTTCATAGATTGGGAAGCCGGGTCTTGGTAGCAAAATATTTGCACCGGGGCGAGCAAGCAACGCAACCGAAACATCAATGGCTTGTGTGCATCCACATGTTATAAAAACATCATCAGATGATAGCTCGTAAGGGAGGTCATCCGATAGATATTTGGCAATTGCACTGTCACCAGCATCCGAAGCAACTTTAATTAGAATCAAAAATTATATTTGTACACATTTGATAACAAATTTCAACAAGGATTTCAATGTTAACACAATTAAAACAATCCTTGCAGGTTTTCCTATCAAATTCGGGGTGGGTACGTGCCAAACGATAAGCAAACAGCATAGAAAAAGAGAGAAAGGGAAAGATTACCTTCTGGCCTGGAGAAGACCTGGAGTGGGAGCATATCCATGAAACTTGGCGGAATGAAGTGAATCAGCAACAGCTTCTTCAGCAACCTTGGTATTAGGGAAACACGTGGAGAGAGTAGGGTCACCTATTCCAAGAGAAATAACTCTCTTGCTATTCTCACCAACACTTTCCATTAGAAGACTCAGAATACCCTTAATTGTGATTGTAGAATTTGTTTTGCTTTCATGGTTCATTGTTCCAACCGCACTTTCCATGCGACCTACTTTGAGTTTTTGAGATTGCTTCTTTTTTCTTTTCTCTCTCTCTGGTACTGTATATATTTACACAAAAATAGTAACGGGGTTTGTTCAGAATTTATGAATTTACAGTTTGGTTTCTTCAAGACCACATGTTATGCTACGTTGTTGTCTTGTACACATGAAAACAAAAGTTTGGAAGTTTGTTATACTTGTTTGAATCTAATGTAAAATGCTACTAGTAGCGAGTTTAAGCCTTTATTTATTCTTAATTCAACAAAAACATGTGGAAGGAAGATAATCATCATGGCTATGATTTCAGCCTGACATTATTTATTTCTTACGTAGTTTTATAACTATGTGGCGACCAGGTTGCAAAAATGGCCTCATCCCAATTTTTTTTTTTTTTTTTTACAATTTCTTAATTTATCATACTCTTAACTACTTATTACATTTCCTTTTATGTCTTTAATTTTTGAAATTGTATCTTCAAACGCACCCTTTTTTTTCTTTATGTCGAATGCTTCCGGAGACATATCTACGAAAAAAGTTTCGTAGATGCATCTCCGAAATTTTATAAGAACAAATTTTTTTTATAAAAATTCAGTTTCGTTGGTCGCAGATGAAAATTAACCGTTGCAAATGAATATAAAATAACATACATCCGTAAATAAAATAATATGATATAAAAGAAGTCATATGTCATAAGCATCATTTAAAAATAGTACATCAATGTCATCAAAATATAGTACATCAAAAAAAACACCACACTCATTACTGTGTGTACTTGACAACATCTCCATCCTCTCCTCTGCCGCCTCGTCTGCCTCTACCGCCTCCTCGACCGCCCGATCTGCGTTCTCGCCCATCAATTCCACCCTGTTGCTACCGCGAAAATAAGGTGCCGGCAAAACAGAAGATTCGCCACCTTTCGTTATTTATCCCTCAGAACGGGAAAGGAAACGATCGGAAAAACCTAACAAAAAGTTATAAGACAAGGCCATCGCAACCAATGTCTGGATTCGGGAGTCGGTTACGCAAGGTGAAGGTATTAACACCCCTCACGTCCATCGTACTCGATGGGATCCACGCTTGTTGTGTTTATCTGACGGGTTGGTTTTATCTATCTACCTATCAAGGCTGGTCTAAAAAGAAAAGAAAATGACTCGGCAAAGTATCGCGCTTTATGCCTACGTATTCTCATCAGAGAATGAGAAATCAGAGTCGACGTAGTTCGCCTAACTACGCGTTACGGGGAAGGTGGCTCGCCAATACGTCAGTATTGTGCCTACGTACTCTCAGCGGATATGAGAGATCAGAGCTTACGTAGTTCGGGATAATACGGATTACGGGGGTTCAAATTCATCTGTTTTTCCGAGTAGGGTTAACAAACAGTTCAAACAGTTTGGTGTATGCAGCTTGCTCGTCAGAGACTCGTGCGTTACCGTTTGCGGTAGAACTGGGAGTTAACGACACTCTTTTCTTCAGAAAAGTTTTCCTTGAGTTACGGGCCCACGGGGCAGAAAGGTTTGAAGTTTGTTTTCTGTCTTTTACGGAAGAAGTGTTTTTTATGGTTGTCTGTAGTTTGTACAGCACTAGAGACTATGACTTAGGAGCGAATGCGTCGCATATCGTCCAAAGGACATATACTAAACACTCTATATGATTGAGAGGAGACCGCTCAATTATCATTTCCCAAGTAGCTTAAGGCTCGTAACGCGCTTATACTAACTTGCCTTTATTACGTTTTTTACTGTTGTTTTGAGATGAGAAGAGAACGAACTCTATGGGGGAAACTGTCAAGTCCTAATGTTGTCATGCCAAGGATTCATCCTATGGTTGAGGTTTGAAACAGGGAACTCCTAGAAGCTATCATGCATAGGTTTCAACCTAAAGTTCTAATCATCACTTCCTTATCGAAGGAAGTGAGATTCCTAGGGGATCATGTCAATGGGATACAGAAACAGACAAAACATCAGCTAAACAGATAAACAGAAGAAAACAGTAAAGATGCAAATGCAATGCAGCAATACAAGCAAAGGGAGACTCACTCAACCTCTTAGCAATCAAGCAAAGAAAAACAGTCAAAACAGACAAGCAGAGGGAGCTCAACTCAACCTCTATTATGCAAATACGTCAATCAGAAAAAGAAAAACAACACGCAAGCAAGGGGAGGGTCACCTCAACCCTTAAGGCAAACAAGCAGAGGGAGACCCACTCAACCTCTTAATGCAGTCATGCACCTACACTTTCATAGACTCAACCCCTTTATGATAATACAATGAATTCCTCCACAGGAGGAAACATGCTCACAAGAAGGATTCCAATCAAGAAAGGAAAATTGAAAGGGAAACTAACCCTATAGGAAGAATCATCCACCTACTTGAACTTCTAAAGAACCTCAATGACTACCCTCTAAGGATCACCTAAACTAAGGCTTCAAAGCTGTAAAGAGTTATCTACCTAAATAACATTCTATCAAGGAAGAAAATGAGACTTAGAATCATCTAATGGTCATTTACAAGACTAATCTTATGAACCTAACCTAGTTAGGGTCACCTAAACTATAACCAATTTGTAAAATGGGGAACTAATAGAAAATCATTTCTAAAAATTCTAAGGAAAATACTACATTATCCTACATGTGTTAAGGATCTATGGTAGAAAAACTAGGGGCTAAACCTAAATCAAAAGGCTCAAACAAAATCTAAATCCAAAGAGTGCACTAAAGGGATCCATCAATAAATACTCCTAAACAACTATCTCAAAATCCTATTTAGAATCATCTAAAAATCACAACAAAAATCCTATAACATCATCAACATGCCTATAATCAGCCAGCCAAAAATCAGCACTAAAATCAAAAGCATGAATTAGCAATAAAATCAACAAGCAAGATAGTCATATTATGCATTTTTAAACATTTATCAAAAAAGAGAAAATGGATATTAAATTGAAAATGGCATCAAAATAAAATCCTAAGGCATGGAAAAATCAGGAATTAAATCAGGAGCAGCCACATATTTTTTGCATATTTTTCTGATCATTAATCAATTTAATATGAATTTTAGAAAATAAAATCAATTAAAGAAAATCTAAAAATCAATTAAAGAAATAACACAACAGAAAATATCAGGGCCGTCAGATGTGAATACTAGTCAATGGATCCAACAGCTACGCGCGTGCCAACACATTAGTGGAACGGCTGCGTTTTGGCTTGGTCAAGGTCAAAACTCAAAATGAATTACGTGCGTTGAATTGGATTACAAAGTCTACGAATTCCACTGATCCAATGGTATACACTTCATCTTCTTCATTTGAATCTGAGTCTGGGGGGGAAACCAGGACGGTGGCTGCGCAACCGTCTTCTCCGGTGAGAGCTATCAAGCTCTGCAACCAAATCTCACAAAACTCAAAGAAAATTATGTGATTCTTCTCGCCTCTTCTTACTGATCACTAATATCCATTCCATTTTCATTAATTCCACAAGAATCTCTCAAATCGAAGATGAACAGAAAATCACTCACTTTCATAATTGTCACGAAACTCAAAATTGCTTATACAAAAATGATCCTCACTCTTCAGAGATCAAGAATCCCTAATCCATTCATGCTAACACTCAATAATTCTCTAGATTCGAATCCAAACAGAAATCTCATGTCACCATGAATCATCATGAAACTTCACCATTAAGATCCTAAAACGTTCTAGGTTGCATCTACAACTTAACCACGTGCTAATTTCAATCTAAACATGCCTGAATCAAGCGCAATAGTGAAAAGTAAAAACCTGGAAAAAAGCTTCAAATTGGAGCAGTTGCAGGTTGATTCTTGGCTTCAAAACGTGCAGAAACCTTCAATCAATGATCATGGTGCTAACTGTATCTTCAATTCCTCTTGAAAACCACTGAATTGCAAAACACGATTTGGAGTTGGAAGCTTTGATCTCTAACTGCCACAACTGAATCTTCAACCAATTTCTTCCAAAAAATGATTTGAATGTGATTGTGAACTTAAATATAATTGATTTGGATCTTAAGATGGCCCAATCATGGCCCAAATTGGAGAATCCAAAATTTCATTTTCCTTCAAAATTTAACTATGGCATATGCGTGTTCCAGCACTGTTTCAACTCAAACTCTGCTCCAATTCATTGCATAATACTCCTTGGATATGAATGGCTCAGATTAAGTGAGTGAATGGATCCAATGGCCAAGATTTGTCATGTTACTTCATCATGAAGCAATCCACTCAATGTCCATGAAATGTGACTCAAATAAAAAATGTAACATTGCCAAACTCTTTAAAACATCATTTCCAATCAAAATAAGCACAAACTTGTGAAGTTTTGAGTCATTATGAGTTATTTTGAATTTTTCCATTCTTTAAGGCCTTTAATGATCTTCTTTCCCAAATTTATTCATACTCTTCCATATTAAACCCATATCAATGGTTGCTTGGGTCATGGTTGGACTAAAAACACCATTTTGAACAACTTTCAAGTTGAACAAATTTTCATTTGAGGTGCCTAAGATGGTGCAATGGACACATAACCAAAAATGACCTGTAATTCCAAATACCCTTGACTTGTCAAAGCCATAACTAGAGTTCTACAAATACAATCATGGACTTCTAGTACTTTCTATAAAGCTAAGAAGATAAGGAACAACATTCATGTTAACAAAAAGTTCATAGGAATCATCCTTCTAAGGCAAAAGTGTCATGCAAGTTGGGTAACTTTCAAGCTCCAAATTCTCATGCCTCAGATGACCTGTAACTTGTCTGGCTCATAACTTGAGTTCTATAAACCCTATTGTTGCGGTGAAATTTGGATATCAAGCTATTGATTAACTTGAATCTTAATTCATTTACAACCGGTCTTTGATTTATCCGAAGGAAAGGTTAAAGAAAGGAAAAACCTAAAAGGGAGAGATCTAAGGTTCAAGGGTTGGTTAAATTTAGGGAAGGTATTAGCACCCTAACCTTCCGTAGTACTCTACGGGAACCTTTTGTTTATTT